ATAGTGATCTATTTTTATTGACAACAACTATGGAACCACACCACATGTGGACTTTGTCTTCTCAATATCCAATGTACAATGAGAGGGAGTTACTCTTCAGAAGAAGTTGGGAAGAGTGGCTGGACCTGATGAAAGACATAAAAAAAGAAGTCCGTTTTGGAGGTGACAAAAATTTAAAGATACTCAGCAGTCAATTTTCAAGTTATCTCAGCAAGTGGAAGATTAAAGAAGAATGGAGAGATCACAAGCAATTTAAAAAAAAAAAGGCCCAGGAAATTTTTAGCACCAACTGGATTATATAGGCCCATTTTGTCATCTCTATAAGATATACATGAAGATGATACAAACATGTTTGATGGTCAGCCTTGATGAAAACTTAAAATGGGTAGACTCAGGCTTTTAAAGACACATGCATGTATATGCTTATATATATATATGTAAGTATGTATATACGTATGTTTGCATATGTATATGTCAGACCATCTCTTTATGATCACACCACTGAATAAGAAGTATAGAGAATATAAGAAACTGTTTATTGATTTACAACAAAATTCAGCCTTAAAGACCCTTCTCAAACAAGGTGTCTCTCAAGATGAGACATATGTCAAAACTGGAAAACACCCAATGACAGATGCCACTATAGGAACAGCTTTCCTCACTTATCAGCTGAGTAGCAACATCAAGGAATCTGTAAAACAAAGAAACGTGCTCACCTAAAATGTTGGTCAGTGTCATTGAAAATGTCCCACACAGAGTACAAGCAAGAGAAAAGCTCCATATTTTTGGTATGGTTCTTTAAATGTTCATGTCCAGAGGTGACACTGTACTCATTCCACTGAGCTCTGGAAGACCATAGAGTCTCCCTGGTGAAATCCAAAGGAATGTGAAAGAGATAGCTGAATGAAAGAAAGGAAGGAAGGAAGAAAGAAAGAGAAAGAAAGAAAGAAAGAAAGAAAGAAAGAAAGAAAGAAAGAAGGAAAGAAAGAAAGAAAGAAAGAAAGAAAGAAAGAAAGAAAGAAAGAAAAAGAAAGAAAGAAAAAAGAAAGAAGAAGGAAGGAAGGAAGGAAGGAAGGAAGGAAGGAAGGAAGGAAGGAAGGAAGGAAGGAAGAAGCTGTGTTGCCCAACTGGAACTGGCCAGTTGGATCCCCAGTAGGGCAGCTTGGACTACTCACAGGTTGTTGTTTGTCCTTTGTTCTTGAAGAGGACCATGATATCAGGAAGGTGATGCCATGACTTGCAAATGAATTGGATTACAGTGAAGGAGGACTGTGCAAAGTCACCAGCCTCACTTTTTCAACTGGAGCCATCTGGGTCTAGTGGCAAGATATAGATCAGGATGACTGGAGATGGCCCTGCGTCTGGCAGATAGTGCTATATAAATGCCTATTTCACCCCTACCCCCATTGTCCAGAAAGAGGGGCTACTTACAAGAATTTAAGTGAGAATATTACCCAGTGTTGTTAATTCCAAGAGTCCCCATAATATCCCTTTGTGTCATAGATACTGTTCTCAAATGCACATAAGAAGAACTAGGATATTAGACTTGGGGTGAAGGTTCAGACCTCACCTCTGACACTGACTGTATGAACATAGAAAAATCACTTATTTCTCTGAGACTCAGTTTCTTCATCTATGAAATAGGGATAATACCTATTTTATCTAATTCACAGGTTTGTTGTAAGGTACAAGTGTGAGAAGGTACACAAAGTATTTTGGCAAACCTTAAAGTGCTACATGTGTCCGTTATTCTCATTACAACTATTATTTACTTAGGCAGCTAGGGGGCGCAGTGGGTAGAGTGCTGGGCCTGGAATCAGGAAGATCTGAGTTCAAATTCGACCTCAAACACTTAGTAACTGTGTGACCTTGGACAAGTCACTTAGCCCTTTTTGCTTGTTTCCTCATCTGTAAAGTGAGCTGGAGAAGGAAATGGCAAAATCATTCCTGTATCTTGGCCAAGAAAACCCCAAATGGGAAATAGAGTCTGAAATGACTCAACAAAATTATTTACTCATTGACTTACATTGTAATTTCAAAGAGCCTTTCTGCATGATGTTAGGTTGGCGATGGCTCTCACTTTAGCTGTAAGTTTCTTATTACATCCCACTCTCCCCACTTTCACCTCCTACCCTCTGTCAAATAATTTATTATCTGAACAAACCTGTGAATGCCATAGGGAAGCTTTCTCTATTTGCAGGAATCCCAGAGATAAACCCTTTTGCCAAGTGAAGAACCACTCTGCAGTGCAAATAAGCATGGGGAATTCCCCACTGGGGCTGGGTATTTTTCAGCCCTCTTACTATTCAGAGATCAGGGTAACAGGGCCAGAATCCTTTGGCAGTTCTTGCCTCTGTGGGTAGAGTAGATGGGAATACTATGGACAGTTTTACCAAGGCTCTACACAGACAGTAAGGGGTTTCCCAGCAAGATGCAAGATGACCTAAGGACCGTACTGTAGCAACTGCCTCCTTCCATCTGTCCGCTTCCTAAAGGGATTCATGCTGATGCTAGTGAGTATCAGAGTCTGATGTATTCCTCAGCAAGCTGAAAGCTGAAATTCAAGGTGGACAATTTGCTGATGACACAAATTTGCTCAAATTCATCAAAGGAAGGCCTCAGACAGGGATCTGACCCAAGGAATGTCAGAGCAAATGAAAAACTGGGGGGGAGGGAGAGACTAGCAGAAACCTCTTCCTGCAGATGAGTTCTGAATTAGTTATAACCTTTCCAGAGAGCAGGAAGAAATTCTGGCTTTGTCACAGGTAACCCAGGGAATGTCTTCCACTTGCTAGCTGCTGGTCATAAAAGTGAATAAGAGGTTTGGCTGAATTAAGAAAGGGTTGGGGGATAATTTAGAAACTATTATAATAATGGCATTGTATAAATCAGAAGCTCATCCTTACCTCAGAGCTTCCCTCTCCTCTGCCATGTTTTCTCCCCTCCTCCCCTCTAAAATTAACTTCTTACAATGGATCTGGGCTGTGGGTTTCCAGGCAGCAGTGGGGAGTGGTTTCAGGCTTTCTCTAGAATTCAGCACATAGATCTCTTGAAGAGTTAGCGTATGCTTCACAAAGCATCAATGCCCCTTTACTTTTACTCCCCTCATTCTCCATGACTGTCTCCCGGACATTTGTTCTCCCCAGCCCCTGCCACGGCCTTTCACAAAACCTCTTTACTGAATCTTGAATGCTTTCTGGGAAAGGGAGATGCAAATGATGAGCAGGAACATTGAAGAAAGTAGGGTTGAGGGTGGGAGAAGGGAGCTGGAGAGCTTTTGGATGAGGGAAAATTAAAAGGGAACAAGACAAATGTGTCAGGAAAGCAGGAGAGAGAGAGGGCCCACAAAGCAACCCGAAGGTATGAGGCAGCTCAGCTGAGCCCTGCTTAATTTGCTCTATTGTTGGAGAACAGAAAGGTACCTTACTAAGTGACAAAAAGCAGACTTTTGAAATGTCTCCTTTAATAACAAAAAACAAAAAACAGCGAATTGGCCTTCTTAGGATGTTGTTACGAAAGCCCAAGTCAAACCTGCTAAATGCAATAGATGGAAAAATACACGTAAAAAGGAAAAACTCATATTTAAAAGTGCCCTGGCCTGCAGTCAATATGTGTTTGTATATATTTATATGGAATGAAATGGAACAATTATTTATTAAACACCTACTATGTGCTGAGTACTGTGCTAAGCACTTTACTAATATGATCTCATTTAATGAAACATTTATATTTGAGATCAATGAATAGTATTGCCTCATTTGTGTTGTGCTCCTTTAAACTGCAGCCAGAGAGCAGTGAATGTACGGGCAGTTAGAGCTGTCTATATATCTACAAACCTCTCTACACCATTTAGTGAGCATTCACTGTGTGCCAGGCATTGTGCTAAGCCCTTGAGATGCAAACAACAAAATGGCCCCTGAGCTCAAGGAGCTTACATCTTTCTGGGGAGAGACAGCAAATAAAGGACAGCTAGAAAAGAGGGAAGGAGGGTTGGAACATGGTTTGGAGGGGAAGCTGGCAGAGACTTGATCCTGGCCAAGATAAAGTGGAGTCCCAGGTTCCCATGAGGAGGATGGGTTGAGGGCAGGTGGCATGATTTGTAGTTGGTGATGTTGCTATTTTTCCCTTAATAGCCTGAACAACCTGGGAGTCTGAGCTCTCCATTCATTTGTAAAGTGTAGCAAAGCCCCACATATAGAGAGACCTGTCCCTTGATTTGTAGGATGAGGGTGTCATTGTGTGGCTCAAAGGGAGGCAGAATAGACATCTCTAGCCTCTTCTCCCTCTGCCTTTCTCCAAGGGAGACTTTAATTCTTGCCAGAGAAGAAGCAAGAAGTTGGGGCCAAAGGCTACCCTGGTCTCTTCAGAAAGAGGGGCTACTGGGTTAGAATTACATCTATCTGTTCCCTCAAATATTCATCTAGGGGACTGCTGAAGCAATGGGAAGAGACAGTTTCATGGAGTGGATGGTAAACAAAGTCAGTGTCATAGAGAGATCAAGTAGATGAGGACTGAAAACAGGCCACTCAATTTGATGAGTAGTGACCTCCAAGTGCACAGTAGGAATAAGATCCCATCACAAGGGGTGAAGAGGGAGATGACGGCTATAGTCCACAAGTTCAAAGATCATAAGTCAAAAAGGAAATTCAGTTTTGGGATAGAAGCTTGAAGACAAAAGATGAGAAGGGGGACCTGAGCATCTGTGAAGGAAGGAACCCATGAAGAAAGAGACTGAAAATGCCAAAGAGGGAGATGGCAGAAGAACACAATGGTGTAAACTGAGCATCATTTGTAGTTAGAGGGTTTTACGTACTTTCTTCAGTTCAGTGAAATTCAACAAGCACCTACTTACTATGTGCAAGACACTATTTTCAGTGCGGGGTATTCAAAGTCAAAATGGGAAACAGCATCTGGCCTCAAGGAGCCTTTATCATGCACCCTTCCTAACCCTTTATTAAACTAATATGATCTGCTTTGCATCTTTCAACTTTTTTTTTCAGAACCTGGAAGAAGCTGCCTCCAGTAGAAAACATGCCAACTGTTAGAATTGGCAGTGCATTGTGTTCTCCCAATGTCAAATATGTTCGTTGGAAAGTACACGAAGACTGGGTGACTCAGGTAAGAAGCAGATTAATACACAGCAACTTAGCAAGCTTTCCTCTCTCTCCAGGCAATACTTAAATAAACAAATAAATGCAAATCACATTCTTTATAGCATTGACCCAGTAAAAATCATCCCTGGTCAGTCTAGCAATCATTCATTGAGTACCTACCATGTACCAACACTGGGCTAGATGCTGGAAATGCAAAGATAAAAATAGAACAGTCTTTGCCCTCAAAGAGCTTCCATTATATTGGAAATGGTTGTCTATTCAACCAGCCCCAAACAGGCATTGACTGAAATGTTCAAAAGAGACCAAGACATATATGAGTTGCTCCAAGAGGCAGCACATGTATTGTAATACTCATAAGATGATGAGCGGGTGGTTCAATCAGCCTTCCCTAGGCACGGCCGCTAACGTTTCCTACCTTTGGCTGGCTCTCCCATTTTATCAGCACATTTGAAGTTGCTGCGCTAAAATATCCTACTGGTTCCTGTGCGTGAAGAGGATGTTTCTTTTCCTTTATCCCAGAGAATGAGTTGGTTAAAATGACTCAGTGCTCCTAGGACGATGACATGCCCCTGTGACTTCTCATCTGGGGGGACTTATATCAGTGCAGTTGAAGTTCTTCTGAAAGCAAGGCATTGTCCTTCATATTGAATCCATGCTGAAGTTAGCTCCAAAGAGAACTGCTGATCCAGGAAAGAAGAGCAGGAGGATGTTCTGAGCACAGGTGCTTCAGAACAATTGGAATGGTGACACCTGTTAGACGAAGGTAAACTGACATGGAGCAGCTAGGTGGCACAGCACTGGACCTGGAGTCAGGAAGACTCATCTTCCTGAGTTCAAATCCAACCCCAGACACTTACTAGCTGAATGACCCTGGACAAGTCACTTGACTTTGTTTGCCTCAGTTTCCTCATCTGTAAAATGACCTGGAGAAGGAAACAGCAAATCACTCCAGTATCTTTGCAAAAAAAAAAAATCCAAACAGGGTCATGAAGAGTTGGACACAACTGAAACAACTAAACAACAAACTGGCATTTATATATCTCTGTCCAAATTTCTAAGTCTCCTTTGAACAAATAGAGAGTTAAACTGGACGATGGGGAGTAGCATTAAAATAGTCTTATTTATAAAAAGGGAGGAGGAATGGGAGTGTGGGAAAATACCATAGAGGGAAGAAATAGCCATTAAAAGCATCAAGGCAATTTGATAGGTGAAATGGGGAATAAAAAGACAAAGAAAGGCTTGAAAAGAAAAAAAAAAGAACAAGAAAAAACCAACAATGGTATAAAGGTATGAGTATAAAGGTATAAAGGATGAGATTGACAAAATAATAACCATAAGAAAAAGGAAATAAATAATAGGTTAGGTCTGCAGTGGAAAAGAAATGCGATTCAATTCGACAAAATTCAGTTAACATTTATTAAGCACTTAGATGCCAGGAATTTTCTTTTAATGGGAAAAAAGTCAATCTTTGTCCCAAGGAGGTTACATTCTGCTAGGACCTGACGTGTACACACAGATGAATAGAGGAAAAGGTAAAATGTGGTGAAGGCAAGGAAAGAGAGAAAAATGCTCTAAGAAAATTTTATGAGTGCTCAGGTGTCCTGGAAGAGGTGGCACACAAGCTGAGCCTTTAAAGAGGAGTATACGTTTAAAAGGTAGAAATGAAGAGGGAGTTCATTCGTGGAATTGGGGCCAGCCTGCAGAAATGCTTAGAGGTTGAAGATGTTGGATAAAAGGACAGGTCACATATATAGGCAGGTGCCAGTTTAATTTGGCTAGAAAGTAGAGTGAATGAAGGGGAGTAGTATGAAATAAAGCTGAATAATGAAAGCAATGCTAGAGATAGAAAGGATTTTTAAAAAATAGTCTGATATATTTCTTTATTGAAAAAAGAAAGCATGAAGAACCCAGCTGCTATCACAGTATTTTGCTCACCATAGGCATTTAATAAATGTTTGTTCAATTTCATAGAAAAGGATAACTAGACCCAAAGTGTTCTGTAACTTCCATAAAACCTCCCTTGCAGGGCTCCTCAACTCTCACCCTCTTTGGAAAAGCTGCTTTCTTTGTCTAAGTAATCATTCAATCAATCCCAGCTAAAACCCTGCTTTATTCATGAAGCCTTGCCCATCTCTCTTAATCCTGGTGACTTCCCTATGAGGTTGTCTCTGCTTTATCCTGTCTATATCTTACTGGCATATAGTTGTTTATATGTTGTTTTTCCCATTGTGCTGCAAGTTCCCGGAGAGCATGGGCTGTTTTTTGCCTTTCTCTGCATTCCCATAACTTAATATAGTGCCTGCCACATAGTTGGTGCTTAACAACTGCTTGTTGATTCAACCCAACAGCAAGAGGAAGGCTACATTCAAATCTGTTGAGATGGAGTAAAGACCACGTCAGTCACTGAACAAGCCAGAGAGGGGAATGTCTTTAGGCTGAGCTTGCCAGTATGGTTCACCATGGCATCTGGATCTCAGGTCCTAACTCTTCTTTAGTCATTTCAGTCACATCTGACTCTTTGTGACCCTATGGGGATTTCCTCGGCAAAGATACTAAAGTGGTCTGCCATTTCTTTCTCCAGCTCATTTTACAGATAAGGAAACAGAGGCAATCAGTGTTAAATAACTTGTCCAGGGTCACACAGTTGTTAAGTCTGAGGCCAGATTTCAACTCATGTCTTCTTGACTCCAGGCCCAGAATTCTATCCACTGTACCATCTAGCTTCCCCTCCTAACCCTAGTGTGTGATTTTCTATGGTTCCCTGAGGATTTGATCCTCTCTCCTGGGCATCAAGGCTATGTCCTTTGTCTGTGTCCCCAAGAAGAATGGTCTCAGGGATTTCTACAAGTCATATATGGCCAAGGCTGCTGGGAAAATGGAAGAATGACCAAAGCAGTCTTTTCCCCTGGGAAAATGCCAATGACAAAAGAAGAGAATGAATCAATGTTACCTTGAAGGGGAAGCTTCTAATTGAGTTATATAATATGTATGTAAATTATTATAAAATAATATTATATATAAATATTAAATATATGTATATAAATATATTAACAGTGTGGCATGATAACCAAGAAGTCAATAAGATCTTAGACTCTCTCTTGAGAAACAAGGCAGCCAGGATGACCAAGATAATAGTCCCATACTGTCTTCACTATCATATGCTGTCCTAGTCAAAACACATCTGAAATATGTTAACATGGGCTCTATAATGACTATATATTAGAAATTGCACAGGGAATTTCTAACTTATAGTATAGTCATTACAGAGCCCACGTTAACAAGTATAATGCTCAGCTCTGGGCACCAAGACCTTTTAGGAAGGAAAGAGGAAGGTACAGTATGTCCAAAAAAGTGTGACCAAAATTATAGATCTCAAGATCATGGTATTTGTGAATGAGTTGAGAGAACTAGGGATGTTTAGGCTGGAAAAAACAAAGAAAGACTTGGAGAGTTGGGTAGCCTGACAAGTTAGACAGTTGTCCAGTTACTTGAAAGGGTATCACATGGGAGAGAGAATAATTTGTTTTGCTTGACCTTAAAAGGCAGATGGGATGGAAGCAATGGAAGTTGCAGAGGGCAGATATAGACTTGATATAAATGGAAATTTACTAACAATTTAAGTTATCCTGAAGTGGGTGAACTGCCTCAAAGGCAGTGTGATCTCCTTCACTGAAGTTCTTCTTGTTGAAGATGGGGATAACTGCTCATCGGGTATGCTGTTGAGAGTAGGGAGTTCCTGTCTGGTGTGCGTAGGACTAGGTAACCACTCAAGACCCTTTCCACTCTGAGGTTCTTTGTGATTCTGTATAACAGGCTTGTTATTGTTCAGTCATTTCAGTCGTGTCTAACTCTTCATGACCTCATTTGGGGATTTTTTTGGGCAAAGATACTGGAGTGGTTTGCCATTTCCTTCTCCAGCCCATTTTACAGATGAGGAAGTGAGGCAAACAAAGTTAAGTGACTTGCCCAAAGTCACACAATTAGTAAGTGTTTGAGACCAGATATGAACTCATCTTCCTGACTCTAGGCACAACATCTATACACTGCTCCACCAAGCTGCCAAGCTTAACCTAATTTAAATGATCTTATCCTTTAACAAGGTCATCCAGAAGTAATGCTAATGCTAGAAATATCAGTCAAGGTGATAGACTGGTAGGAGAGATATTTGGGGACTAGAAGTTTAGCAAAGTATAACAACATTGCTCAGAATATGTGTTTGATAAAATGTTGGTTGATTGGTTGAATGAATGAATGAATGAATGATCGCCTATGTGTAAGACCATCTGTAGCCCTTCTAGCTATGAACCTTACTTTAGAACCTCTCCACATTGGCATTATTTTCCTTAAAATGTGGCCCTCAGAGCTGGTATGGTTAGGGCAGAGTTCAGAGGGTCTACCACCTCCCTCATTCCCAGCATTTGTACTTCAAGCCGTCCATACTTTAATGGAAGACCTTGATCACTTCGCTCTATTTCCAAAAATAGATGATCTTGGGTGTTATGTGTCACAGTATTTTATGTTCCTCACTATATTTTCCAAACTGAAGATAACTCATACGAATGAATAAAATGGTTTTCTCTTTCAAGTCCTTGTAGCTGTGATGTGGGTCACATTCAGATTTTCCCAGAAAATCCTAAAATAGAGAATAGAAACTGCGACATGTTCTGTTAGACATGATACACAGGAATTGTTTGCTCTGGTTTTAGCTTTATGAGAAAGCGTAGAAGGAAGATACTGCCATCAGCAACCACGCCAATACACCCACTCCTGTCCACCTACACACACATGTTTTTTTAAAATGTTCTTCATACTTTTAACAAGTGGTTTCCTTTCTCCAGAAACACATTTCCAGTGAATTTTAAAATACTTATAATCTTATTTGATCTTATCCATGATCTTGATGTTAATTGACATTTTCTCTCTCTTTTTTTTAATAGTTGAACTACTATGATTCCATTCAACTCGTCATTTCTGCCTCTATCCACGAGCCTACTGCTCTAGTAATAGGCATTATTTATCCATTCATATCAATCCTCTTTAATGTTCCCTTAGCTTCTTATTTCCAATCTCTGGGCTCCTGCCTTTATAGTTTCTATACCATTATAAAAGATAATAATAATAATTTATATTTTATAGTATCCTTATAATGCAAAAATGTTTAGTTTTACTTATGACTTTTTAAAATTCTATTCATATCTTTTGTTTTTAAATCCCCTTCATTTCTAGGAATATCCCTCTCCTTTCCCAAGCTATTCCTTGTAGAAAAAACAGTGTGGGGGGGATGGGCAGTGGGAAAAGCAAGCAGTTAGCAAAACTAACCAATTTATCGATTGAATCTGACAGTATATTCTATGTTTCACACCTATAGTCCTCCATCTCTTCAAAGAAGGGATGAAAAGGTATATTTTCTCATCTTTTCTTCAGGTACTCCTTCCTTCCTTCCTTCTCTCTCTCATTTGCATAGAATTTGGTTTTGGGGGGGCTTTTTTGTTTATTTAATTTATATTGTAGTCCAGTATACTATTCCTGGTTCTGCTCATTCCAATCTGCAACAATTCATGTAAGTCTTCTCAAAGTTTTCTGAATTCTTTGTGTTAATTTTTTCTTATGGTATTCTATTACATGTACCAACCACGATTTGTTTAGCCATTTCCCATTCAGTGGGGTGCCACATCTCTGTAAATGCAACCTCTCATCCTCAGAATTCAATGCTCTTTTATAATGAAGAAAAACATTTAAGCAAAATCACCCTAACAGTCTCCCACCTCTCTGTGGAGAGGAGGGAGGTGTGTTTCATTATCAGTCTCAGTTTCTTTTTAGTGATCTTTTCATTTGCAGGGTCATAGTGATATAGCAAAATGTATTTTATATGTATATCTCAAGTGATATTTACAGCTAGGTGGCACAGTGGGTAGAACACTGACCCTTATGTCAGGAAGATTCGAGTTTGAATCCAGCTTCAAACACTTACTAGCTGTGTGACCCTGGTCAAGTCATTTAACCTTTGTCTGTCTCAGTTTCCTCAACTATAAAATACAGATAATAATAACAACTGTCTCCCAAAGTTGTGAGGATTAAATGAAAAAATTTTGTAAAGTGCTCAATATACTTCCTAGGACATAGTAAAATGTTTAAATTTAAAAATGTTTATTTGCTTCCTTCCTTCCTTTCCTCCCTTCCTTCTTCCTTCTCTCTTTCCCTCCTTTCCTCTTTTCTTTCATCCCTCCCTCCTTTCTTCCTTCCTTTTTTCTCCCTCATTCCCTCCTTCTTTAAGCTTTCGTTTCCTTCTTTCCTCTTTTCTCTTATCCTCCCTCCCTCCCTCCCTCCCTCCTTCCTCTTCCTTCCTTCCTTCCTTCCTTCCTTCCTTCCTTCCTTCCTTCCTTCCTTCCTTCTCAGGGACCATTTAATTTTTGTCTTTGGATACTTCGTGCCTAGCACAGAGCCAAGCAACATAGTAAGCAATTAATTCTGAACTGAATTCTGACCGTATTCTGGTATGAGCTTGGGAAATAAAACATTTTTTAGAAATTTAATTTCATCACAATACTGATACCCAAAGTCAGTTTTCCTTTGATTCCAAAGGGTGGGAAGATATTTTGATGAGTCAGTTATTGTTCCAGACAATGTAAGTGTAAATATTCAGAGGCCTCTAGCATTGGTTGTTTCTTCAGATAAGCAGAAGCTCCTCCCCTCTTGCTATTTGTTAATAAACTAGAGGATCAGCCATCATGGTATTTTGGCCCAAAAGAATGTTACCCAAACCTGTGGATGAGTTCTCAGATCTGCCTGTGTATCTGACCTTAATAGATCACTGACGTCATTGACATCCTGCCTAGAGATACTTTGTAGTTTTCTGTGAAATGGGCAGCATTTAGATGGAAAGGCAGATGCTGCCCAACCTTCCCTCCCAATTCCTCCTCCAGTACCCAAGGCTATCACTAGGGAGATATAGAGCCCAGGGCAAAGCACAACATCATCCTCATTCCTACCCCCCCATCTCCTTCTTCCTGACACAATATTGTTATATAGATGTCATCTGGTTAAAATGAGCATCAAGAACGACCCTGAAAGAGAACACAGGACACAAAAGGGTATATGCAGCCTGAGGGATATACAAGGACAGCAGGAGAAGGTGTATGATGCCAAATGGTGAACTCCAATCCTTCAGTCCCTAGGGAGGAGGGTAGGGTTATGGGTTGATTGCATAGATATGTCTCGGACCTTTTTTTTTTTTAAAGAATGAACTATCACTATTTCCTTCTCCCCCATTTATTTCTCCCACAGTGATTCACCCCTACAGCAGCCTGCTGCCCCACAAGCTTAGGAACTAGTGTGAGCACCCTAAAGGCAGCTCTGCCTGCAACTCACTTCAACCTTTAGGAAGTTTTCCACCACCTTGAACCCAAATCTGCTTCTCTGAAAGGTTGGTGATGAAGAACATATTCTACCTGCCTCCTGATAGAGAGATGATGGACTCAGGGAGCAGAATGAGACATGGAGTTTTTGGATATGGCCAATACAGGAATCTGTTTTGCTTGATTATGAATTTATTTATTGCAAGGGCTTTCTTTTTTATTTTTACTAGTGATGATGAGGGAAGGGTGAGGGAGAAAAATTATGTTCATTGAAAAATTTAAATTTAATTTTAAAAATCCACTTCTCTGTAACCTCTGTCTATTTTTATTGGTTCTACCACCTGGAGTCAAGTAGAGCAAGCTTGCCATCGCTATTTCAGTCACCTGAAAGTTTTGAATCTTCAGATATTTATATTCTATGATTTGCAACCACGTAACATCAGAGAAGAATACTTATACGTCAATGTACTTCAACTAATCAATCAGTAAACATGTATTAAGTGCCTACTACCTGCCACTTATCACCATGCTAAGCTCTGGGGACTTAAAAAGAGGCAAATGACAGTCCCTGCCCTCAAGGAGCTTACAGTCTAATGAGGGAGACAACATGCAAACAAATATATACAAAGTGAGCTGTATTCCGAATAAATAGGAAATAATTAACAGAGGGAAGGCATTGGAATTAAAAGGAGTTGGGGAAAACTTCCTGTAGAAGATGGGATTTTAGTTAGGTCTTAAAGGAAACCAGGGAGGTCAGTAGCCAGAATGGAGGAGGGGGGGGCATTCCAGGTGAAAAGCCAGAGAGAATGCCTGAAGCTGAGAAAAAAGTGGATCTTTGTGTCAGTAAAACAAATATAAAAAACCTTGAGGTCAGAACTACAAAATTTTTCACATGCATTCCATCTATGTCTCTTTTCTAACTAGTTCTGGTCCCAGTTTATTGTCTTTTTGCAGCACCTGTCCATGATGCTGATGGTCTAACTCAATTGTATGGTCAATTCAATTGCATGTGATAATCTGAATGCAGTGCACTCTTCATCCACCTGATTTTTCTTTTATAGATTGTTAGTGATAGATTTCATTTAGGAGGTTCCTCGATCTTCTGCAGGGTGATACAATCAGTATAATATCATGTAAAGACATTAGCATGTGGAGGACCGCACCTTCATTGGGAATCTTTGGATTCCATGCAGGATGTCCTTCATGACTGTGTCAAATACCTTGGGCAAGTGTAGTTCTTCCCATTTTATGCCTTACTTGACCTTGTTGAGCAGAAAATCATTAAACAAAATTTTGTTTCTTCTTACAGCTATAAAATTATCTTGTATGATTTCTACTTTGTTCCATTGAGTCAAACAGTAAATTAGTTTGCATTAGTAATTAATTAGTAAGTCAATTGGTAGATCTACAAACAGAAGATTAATTTGCACTCTAAAACTTCCAAAATAACACATATTTCAAGGAAAAGAAATCTTACTTCTAATGAGGCTTTGCAAAGAATATTCTGTCCAAAAAATGTGGTCACCAAAGCTTTTAGTTATACTGGTCAGCTTCACAAGATGAAGCCAAATTTCAGAGCTGCCAGGGAGTTTCAGAGCCTGACCCTGGGACAACAGTTGGCAGCTTTTCAGAAGTGACATGTGACATCTTCATTTATTCAGTCCAGTGTAGGGTTTCATGTGCCAATAATAACCATTGTCCTTCTACCCCCAAATCACCATGGATCGGGAGCCTTCATGTCTAATTGGGGTCCAGTGTAGCTTTGTTGAGTATTTGCTATTATTTGTAAGAAAAAGATAATAATGAGACCTGAAAAATCCCATCATCTTTGGGTTGCCCAATTTCTTCATCTGTGAATGAGAATAATTCATACTTGCATTACCTATCTTTAGTGCAGTATAATGGAGTCAAGAGAGATCTGACTTCGAGTCTGGAGGGACTTGGCTTTAAATACTGCCTCCCGGACTTTACAACTATGTGACTATAGGTAAATCATTTAACCTTTCTGAGGCTCAATTTTCTCAGGCTTAAAGTACTTGTAGAACCTACATCCTGAGGCTGTTCTATGGATCAAGTTATATGGGAAATACCCAAAGTATCATATAAATTTCAGCAATGATAATAATTATTATTACTACTTTTCATTTCTATGCTTCAGGGATAGATTACCAGGACTCAAAACTCCTTTGACACAAGTGATCTGGCCAGATGCTGATCAGCTTACTGACAGGGATTACTGCAAAAAAGGACATCAATATAATTCCATAGACAGAATAGTCATGCGTAACCATATATCATGGGAGATTATGGTTCTGTAATCTGGGAGCTGTTACACTATCCATGTGGTCTATGGGTCAGATTCCTATGTGGGTCAGATCCTCTGGAACTAGAGAGAGGGAAATAGAACTTCTTGTTGTATTTCTGGAACCAGGGAATCCTTGTGGGGAGTATGGATAAGTCTATTAGCCTCTGCGAATCTGTGGAGGTCCAGAAGTAACAGGGTAAGTGTTCTAACAGTTATAACTACTAGTGAGGATTAGTCTCAGTCTGGATAGATTAGGTGGCAGCTAGGTGGCATGTTGGATAGAGTCAGGAAGACCTGAGTTCAAAGCTGGCCTCAGATACTTACTAGCTGTGTAAACATGGACAAGTCACTTAATCCTGTTTGCCTAGTTTCCTCATCTATTAAAATGAGCTGGAGAAGGTAACAGCAAACCACTCTAGTATTTTGCCAAGAAAACCCCAAATGGGGTCATGAAGAGTCAGACACGACTGAAACTACTCAACAGCAACAACAACAAATTAATTAAGCTCTTGACTAGAGGTAGCTATATAGCATGATAGATTTAGCACTAGGCCTGGAGTCAGGAAGACCTGAGTTCAAATATGGCCTCAGATACTCAGTGGGCAAGTCATTTAACCTGTGTCTGCCTCAGTTTCTTCAACTGTAAAATGGAATAGCACCTACCTCTCAAGATTGTTATAAAGATCAAATGAGATATTTGTAAAGCACTTAACACAGCGACTTGGCATGTAGTAGGTTCTTAATAAACATTCTGTTTCCTTCCTTCTTCACTGAGTTTATGGCTCTGATACTGTGGCTATCTCTACAATACTATCAAGGGAAAACACCTAGAGAAGATGGTATTCTTTCCCATGGAACTATGGTCTTATGTTTGTTTCAGAATTTGAACTGTATACATCAGAAAAAAAAATACTGGATGTGACAGCTCTTAGTATTGACTACAATAAGAGTCTAGATGTTACACTGGACAGTAAGTCAAGTGAAATCATGGGAAAGCTAAAGGAAAACCTACTGCTCTTTCCCAATCCCTCCTCCCCCCCTTCCCATCCCCTATTCCCCTGGGAAGAGATTGAAGGTCCTATGATTTAGCAGTTTAGAGATCTACTTCCCTATGGCCCCACTCCCCAGTGTTGGATGAAGTGCCCTTCCCTGGCTTCCCCTCCCCATTCTGTGTTATTTCCTCAATTGGAATGTCCTTGCTTACATTATAACACACTTGGACCAATGGTGGAGAGTAGGGCCATAGGGAAAAAGATCCACACTCTCCATTGAGGAAAAATGGAAGAGGGTTTTTTTTTTATAATGGGGTTCAGAAGAGGGAAAGAGAGGACATTTATGAAATAGTATTTCAATATTTCTCACTGTCCAATAAAGAAAGTGAGATTCCAGGGCAGAAGTACATCTAGAATAACACTTTTCAAACTTTCTGGTCTCAGGACCCCTTTACATTCTTAAAAAATATTGAGGAGCTCCCAAAGAGTTGTTGTTTCTGCAGATTATGCCTACTGATATTTACTGTGAGAAATTAAAACATCGTAGTATTACTATGAAAATCGTTTTGATCTCACAGACCCCCTAAAAGGATCTCTTGTTGTTGTTTAGTTGCATCCAACTCTTCATGACCCTGTGGACCATAGCACGCCGGTACTGTCCATGGGGCTTTTTGGCAAAGGTACTGTAGTGGTTGGCCATTTTCTTCTCTAGTGGTTTCAGGGAAACAAAAATTAAGTGACTTGCACAGAGCCACATAGCTATTAAGTGTCTGAGGCCAGATTTGAGCTTAGGTCTTCTTACTCTAGGCCCAATGGTCTATCTACTGAGCCAACTAGCTGCCTCTGAAAAGGGTCTGAGGGATGCCCAGAGGTCCCTGTTGCTGGGCCCCTTTGATTTCATATTTTGTCACCCCATGAACATTACCTGGTGGTTTCTCAGAGCTGAAGTCCTGGCTTTGGCAAACTAGGTGGACATTATCAGTCAACTAAATGCCAATACATCTTTGGAATTAGCATGTTAACAACAAAACACCTTACATACTTTCTGATGACCTCTGCAGGAAATCTATACATAGATTTTCTTTTTTAAAGTTATTTTGCTTTTTTTTTATTCTGAATTTAACAAACACTAAATAAAATGAATATTTCCATATACCTGGTAGAGCAGAAAAAGAGAATTATACAAACTTCAGGTCTCTTATTTTATACAGCTTGCTTTTCCTTTTTAGTGTATAAGTTCAATCAGAACATTTCAAAATCCTCCTCTTTCTAGGCTTCCTTCTGTTCTTTTTTGCTGCATTTTTAAAAGATGCCTCAATGATACTCTCTTCTTTTTTTGTTTCTTTTGGTGCCTTATTTCTATTGCTCTTTACCCTTCCAATCATCATTCCATGCCTCTACTCCACTTCCAAAAAAAGATAAATGAAGCTACCATAACAATTAGTGCATAGGTATTCTTAATCCATTTGCAAGGATAGGATTCCTAAACTTCCTGACACTTCATCCCACTCCTTTCCCAAAGCCAGTCCTCTGGATGTCATTGAACATCATGGAGGGGACAGTGAGCCTCTGAGTGACCTAGCCTGGGATTCAGTCTAGTTTAAACATTGGTGCAAAGTGGTCGAGTCTATTTCATTTTACCCCACTGGGGATATACTTCATGGGGTTCGATGCTTAGC